TGTGTTGACACCCCAGATTTCAGTTAGGATAGAGCAATACCTGCGAGAACGTATGATGTAATATAATTTATAGTTGAAAACCAAATCTGAGCTTGGTTTGGTCGTATATATATGAAATGGTTGTGTGTAGATCAGAATCTGTATTTTTTTATAGATTGTGTGTATTCATACACCGAACTTAATAACGAAATGTGATTTAAGGCTGTGTCTAGACCCCGGATTTCAATTATGATAGAAAAACACCAGCGAGAATGCATGATGTAATAATTTATGGTGAAAATATGAGTGAAAAGAGCTAGGACAATTAAGGTAAAACTTTAAGAACCTTTTTTTTAATTATTCTCTTTTAATCTTTTATGGTGTTTAATCGTGTTCGAGACATATTCTAATTTTATTCTTCACTGGGAAGAAGAGGAAGATTCATTTTCGGAGTTCTTTTCCACTTTTCTTTCTCTTTTGTTGTTTATATGTGAACTTTCATGAACTGGCTGAAGGAATAGATTTCATTCGTATATTTGTAGACACTTTTTAATTTTTATTTGGCAATAGTGAACACTTATTTTTTTCCTTTTCAACTACCCTAAATGAGAATATTTCAGTGTTCACTGAGAAAGCTAACATGATAGGTGTTTCATTACTTAAAGCAAAAACTTCAGCCAGCTAGAAGAACCCAGCTTGATGTTAAAGATTATGTTTGCTTGCTAAATATATGTGCGGCTGCAATACAACTGTTTGAGATGAGATTATGTTCTATCATTGAATTACAGGTTGTTGATATCGGATAATGGTTGTGTTCGTATACTGTGTTATGGAAGACTAATAGTTGTTCCTTGTCACCCTTTTTTCTATCTACTGGGGTACAGACCAAACCCCTCAGTTAAGCAAGGGTCATCTTTTGGCAAAAATAAAAAATAAAAGGAAATGTAATCACCTATTTGTCAGTTGTTTATTGTCATGGAGTTTAATTTGTTTGGATATCATTACGTTTTACGACAAGTATCTTTAAATTGCTTGCATTATGTGTGTTATTTAGAATATTATGGTTATAGATTTTTTGCAAATTCATTGGTAGAGAATGTTGCAAAATAATTAAATAATGCAGGATGTCTGAAGCACCCTTTAGGCCAAGAGAAGTCCTCTTCGAGAGGCAAAAGTTATTTCAGAGCATTCACAAACATACATATCTGAAAGGACCTTTTGATAAGATCACCTCAGTTGCAATTCCTCTGGCTTTGGCTGGTAGTTCGCTATTTTTAATTGTGAGTTCCTTTTTACTCTTCTAATCATTTTGGCCATTTTCATCTACAGTCGAGTTTGACACTTGACTGTTTCTGATGATTGTTCTCCAGGGGAGGGGGATCTATAACATGTCTCATGGGATTGGAAAGAAGGAATAAGAAGATGGATTCCATTGAATGAGTGTCCTCTTAGGAACTCAATTTTTTAAGCATGCGTTTTCAAGACTGGTTTTTGCTCTGACTTATCTACCTTTTCTTTGCTAATAATTGATGAATTGCAAACGCGTTGACGAATGAATGTACGTTCCGTCATCAATGACATGAGGCAATGCCTTTCTGTTATTCTGTTTTCTTGGGAGTATAGCTGAACTATGTTATGATTTTATTCAGAATTAGAGAGAATTTGTGGGTGGAATAAATCTTATCAAGCTTCCGTTGGTAGTTTGTGAAATTAGTGCTCACTTTTGGTCAACAACGAGACATCAACAAGATTTTTCTTAGTCTGTGACGATTTATGGGACCTTAATTTTTTTCTTGCTGTGCTCGCACAAATGAATTGCTACAGTTGAATGATCATTTAATTGGAGTTGAAATGCATAATAACACTAAGGGTCCGTTTGATTGCAAGTGTGGAAAATGGGTGGAAAGAAAATGAATTTCAGGGAAAGTAATTGCCTATAAATTGTTTTGCAAGGAATTGTTAATTAAGTGGGTTTGATTAGTATAATTTTCCACCCGAAATTTTTTTGAAATTTTGGATTTTTTTTTGTTCACATTTGGCATTATTTTACATGGAAATTGTTCATTAAAGTGATTTTTTTTTTTTTAAAAATTGGTTATGAAATTTGTTACAATT